AGTCATACTCCAGCCATTTTCAGCTTTTTGCATACAGACAGTTTCACCATAGCCATTCAGTAATCATGTTTGCCCCTAACTGCTATAACAGAAACCAGAAATCAAGGTATTTGCTTTTTAAACACTCAATGGTTTTATTTAACTGAACATTTTTTTCTACTGTAGTTACTAAGTACAATAATGAAAAAGAATGACAAAAAAAAAAAAATCAAAGGACCTCATCATCCTGCACTAAATATGACTGTAAACATTCTTTTTCCACTTGCCATCTTAGAGCAGATTCTAAAAATCCTTTTATTCCCTTCTTCCAAAAAAAACAAAATGCAACTAAATATTTGTTAGGTGTAAGCACCATGAATTTTCATTAAGCAATAAGCTCAGGAAGAACTAAAGAGTCATTTAGTCTGCTTGACCCCTCTCAAACCTTAGGCCAGCATTATGCAAGGACACAGTAATGAAAAGTACTTAAACTGACAACAACTCAATCACCGTTTCAGTTAAGCACAGATATTAGCTCTTCTAAACATAACTATAATACTGTGTGCTTTTTCTCTTTCCTAAAGTCAGCTTGCCTAGGTCATCTTCAGCATTAAGGAATACAATTTGGACACTTGTTATAATATTTTTCTAAAAAAGTGAATTGCTGTTTTCAATTTTCGGTCAGAATAGAAAAAGGTACACCAGCAGTTTGATTCACTGGTCCTCACTTGTAAACACTACATATATGTACCAAGAAAACCTGTATCTAACAGTGTTATTATCCTATATTCTTACAACACTCAGATTGGATTAAATTAGGGCATAACCAAGACCAATGTTTGAACAGAAACCTAGCAATGAAATTGGATAACAGAAATTTATCCATACTGACACCAGAACTGAATTTTCTGTTGCAAAATCTTCAACAGGAATACCAGCTTAGGCTCTTTTTCCCATATATTCCATACTATTTCCCCACTGTTTGTCAAAAGGACAACCTAACTGAATAAAAAAATAACTTATCTCTACAGCAGAATCACAGAGCTGTGGCTGCATACCTGATGGCACAATGCATCCCAGCTGAATTAACAGCTTACTGACACAAAGGTGAATAAGCAGCTTATTGAATCTTTTGCTTTCCCTCTACCCTGCTCCATCTTGGGAATCAAATTCAACAGGCCAAGATGGAAAACAATTTTTTAAATAAAGACAAGGTTGTTTCTTCCTCCTGTAAGTAATACTCAATCTGCTCCATGTTCAGATGAACAGCATCAGGAGGTCAGAATGAAACTTCACTTTATCAGCATCAATAGAAGTGTTGAAGGTCCTTCCTGAAAGCGTATCATGATTAGCAACATTTTGCAAAGGCCAGCCTAAGCAGCCATGCAAAGGGGAAGCAATTTTGTCTATATTGCACAGAACTTACTAATAAAGAGGTCAGAATTTATATAGTATATTCCATAGTAAGTACTGGTTGTCTCTAATAAAATTCAGCAATTAACATTTATTTTTCACTTAACAAAAGATATTTGCAGTCAATCAATATTATTCTAATATCTTTCTCCCCCAAAAATTTAACAAATGTAATATTTGCAATATTTACATGTCTCTTTCCACTTATTATTTAATGAGAGACTCCTTTTCTCCTACTAAAACTACACTTTCATTCACAGAAATACTAGCACCATCCAACTTAAAAGTTAAATACAGACAAGGCACAGTGGTGTTAAGGGGACTTCATCAAAAAAGCTAATGCTAGGTTCAGTCTCTCATGATGCCTTGAATCAGCATTACAGAAACCTCTGTGTACTTTTCTACTATAACAGGAGGAAAATACCAATGACAGGGACAAAAGCTTCACAGTTAGCAGCATGAATATCAAGTCCAGATTGGCAAAGTTTTGTAACTCACACATAAGATCTAATGAATGCAGCTTCACTTGTTCTGTATTAAGCCTGAGTTTTGAAACAGTTTCTCTGTACTGGATTCTGATTCACAACTTTGATTACATATACAGGTTTACTTGCCAGCTCAGTTTTTCACATTTAAACTCTTTTCAAACATTTTCTGACTTCAGCATAACTTACTTGTGCCAGGCTCAAATTCAGATGTGCTTACATGCTTTCCACGTTTCATGCACTTTATGAATTAGTATGTCACCTCAACCAAAGCTAGCAAGTAATCCCAGAAGTGGACAGTCTCCATCAAAAGAAGCAAACAAGTGAACAGGCAAAAATAAAATTGTTGTTGGAAAAAGATCTGCTGAAGGAAATTCAGTTTGATTGACATATGTTCAACAGATTTGAAAGTTGTTATTTAACTAAGAAGTACTTAAAGTATTTGTCTACTTTAACAGCATTGCCATTCCTATGTAAACTGAGAATGTGACAGTCCAAAAGTTCACAAGGCCCAAAATCCTGTCTTCAACACTTGCAAAGAGTACCTGAGACAGAAGAAAATAAGCACACAGCAATAATTTGACAGAGTATTCTCCCCAGAATTACATAGACAGATCTAAAAATAAGACTAAAATGTTAGAGATATAAACACATTAAACACAGCAAGCACGTAAATATAGTGTATCATCATAGACACACAATAGAAAAATCATTACCTAAGTAAAGGAAGAAGCAAAAATGCCAATCCTATTCAAAACAAATTTGTAGACAAGGAATCTTGACCTAAATAACATTCACTGCTCTCTAAATTGCCTTCCAAAAACTTGTGGCAGTAAACCTACAAAAAAATGGCTAAAAAAATGGACTAAGATTCAGATAACAAATCTTTACATTTCTGGGACAGACATCCCTGAAACATTTCTTTTTGTTTTTGGCTTTGTGAAACAGATTTTATTACTAGAGGATACAAGGATACACACAAAGCCAGAAAATCAAAGAATCATAGGGGTTGGAAGGGACCTCTGGAGATCATTTAGTCCAAGATAACATTGGCCTTCTTGGGCATAAGGACATGCTGATTCCTCATGCTCAACCCACTGTCCAACAGGACACCTAACTCCTTCTCTGTAGAGCTCCTTTCCAGTCAGGTCAGCCCCTAACTAGTACTGATACATGCAGTTATTCCCTTCCAAGTGCAGCACTCTGTACTTGTCCTTGTTGAACCCTCTGCAGTTCCTCTCCACTCAATCTGTCCACGTCTTGCTGAATGGCATCACAGCCTTCCAGTGTTTCAGCCTCTCCACTCAGCTTCATATCCTCAGCAAATTCACCGAAGGTGCATTCTATCCCTTGACAGAGGTCATTGATGAAGATGTTGAACAAGATTAGGCACAGTACTGGTCCCTTGGGAAAAGCACTAGCTAAAGATCCCCACCTAGACTCTGTGCTACTGATCACAACTCCGAGACAACGCTATTAGACATGCCTTGTCTGTTTACACAATACAGGCATAATTATCTCCTTATTTTAATAAAGTTAACAAATGCCAAATTATTTTGCATAGTAATCACACTTCTTCCTTCTCCAGAATACTAATATAACTTTCAAAATATCTACAAAGAATTATACCCTAAAAATGCAGATGGTAACACATTAGTCTAGAGAAAAGCAGTAAGAATTTCAGCTTCATAAAACATGGACTTCAAAGCTCTATAATGCCATGGTTTTGATCAGGGCAGAATAAATGCATTAATTAACTCACAACAACTTGGACAAATATCAAGTATTCGTCTTTTTATCCCTTCTGTAAAAGAGTAATAATTAATGTGAAGATCATTACAAAGTTGTAGAAAAGTGGTTCTCTCCACTTCATTGTTAAAAGGAGCAGTGAGCATCAGAAGTTCAAGGCAATGAGTGTGAAAGCTACAGCCACATGAGCTTGACCCCAGGTGTCCTGGGATATCCTCCAAGGCCAGATATCCCTGTTGTGTCTCATTCATTCAGGCTGAGGTAGATTAGATATTTACAAGGTGGAAAGCATCTACCAGGTTGTCCCTTATTAGCTGGCAGACAGTCCTGAGCTGTTATATGTGTAGTGAGTTACTGAGCACATGTTGCTATTTTGATTTTAGTTCTGCTATTTCTACCAATTTAACACTTCTTTTCCATAATACCTGCCTGTTAGCTAGAACTCATCACTTTAAACTCATCCTAAAGGATAAGAATCCATGTATAATTTTGAATGCTGCAGAGACCAAGCAGGCACTGTGACACACAAGCCCTGCTGTGCATAAAAAAAAAAAAAAGACAGCTTTTATTTGTACTGCTACCTTTAGCTTATAATTTTCAGTAATGTTGTTTTATGATAGTATAAATACAAATTTTACTAGCAAGAAAGATGAATGCCTCCTACTTAACACTTAAATATGTAAAGATGAAAATTACAGTTTTCCCAACAGGTTAAAACAGGCTTTCTGTTCGAAGAGAAAGTTACTTCAGTAGATTCTTTTCAGATATATTCCTTCTTTAAAGAAGAAATATGATACTCAACACAATCCTTACCAAAATTTCCATCCTAATTCTTTAAAAGCAATTGAATGTGTGAAGGCATCTGTAAATAAACACCACAGAATCCTATGCTGTGAGAACCTCATTTCCTTAATCTTAATACTTTTCCACATCGCAAATACATTATCTGTATGATGTGGTACCACGTATAGTTTTGCTGTATTTTACATTTTACTATCCACAAGTCTGAAGATATTTACATGATGTAAACAAACAGTCTCCTACTTAAATCATCAGCAAGCTTATCTGTTTTCCATTTGGTCAGAAAAAAAAAACCTTACACACACTTCTGAAGTATAGAAGTGCCATTACTGGACTATCTATTTTATAATATATTATTGTGAATGATTAATATTCAGAAAAATATGGTTAAGCAAAGCAGAACTAATAAAATAGACCAGTTAAACAACAGTAAAAATAAGCAGCATTATATTCTGACAGCACAGGGCCTTGAACATTGATTATATTTTAGGTCCCTGCCAACCACAAGTGTTTTACTGTTTTATACTAAAAGAAGGAACAAGTGCACAGGAAAAGATGAAAAATGATTCATACCTTTAAATCAACAGCTGAAACATCTGTAACAAGGCTGTATAAAAAAAATGAGAGAAAATGAAAGATGTTAGAGGGCAAATTATTGCAAAGATAGTGGTAAAAAGTCTAAAGAAAGAAAGAAAACAGTTGCAAAAGTAGAACTGTGATGAGCTGTGGACTTTTCTCTTGCAAAGGAAATGGTTTAACAATGTACAGTACGGAGAAAAAACAACACATGACAGTCTGGATCACAATAGCAACCAGTCAAAGTTCTTCAAAATTTCTATATAAACCATACCCTTTTTACCATTAGTTTTTAAAAATAGTTCCTTGTGAAAATAACAATAACAAAAAGCATGAACAGTATTACAGGTATTTATCAACAGCTAAACCTTATAGAATGAAGGACACCCATTTCTGTTATTATCTCTATTGTTTTATAAAACTAAATAATGTACCAAACTTAGCTCATGACTAGCATATTTGGAAGGGAAAAAAAAAAAAAAAAAACAACCCCATAACACCACCACCAACCTCCCTTCCCATGCATCCAAAAAAACCTGAATTGATATGAAGCTACCAAAAAGATTTCCTCTTCGAGTGATCATTCATTTAAAACCATTAAACTACTTTGGTAAATATTTACTTCGGAGTGATAAAATCATTCAAGAACATAACAGTGATCCTATTCTCAACTTGATCACAACACTCCAAAGACACATATTTTGGATGTTTTTTTCTTTTCGAGTTTTTAATTTTTGGATTCACATTTTAAGCTTCTATCCACAACAAATGCCATGGATGTATATATTTTAATGAAGATTCATATTCACAAAACAATCATATAATTGCGAGATTTAAAAACTCTGAGAATTGCACACTTGAAATCAAGCAGATGTAAAGTAACAGAAGTCTGCACAATTATGTGCATCACGTAAATTAAGTATCACATGAATAAGCTACATGAAAGATTTGCATCAAGATTAACAATAGAGAATAATACTTTCATAAACAAGTTGAATTTCAAATTACTGCTTAAGATTTTCTAGGAGAGTAGTGTTGTTTGAAAGAAAAGCACAGTCATGTCTATGATACCCACTCTTCTTGTTCCTTTTCGCTGGTCTGCTTTGTTTCATCCTCGTTCGTCATTTCTTCCTGCATGGTATGTTCACATGCAGTAGTCTTTGATCCTCAGCTCAAGTCTGTTTCACCTGTTGAAACAAGCACTAATAGAACAGCCCCTGTTAGAATCATTTTTCAGAAAAAAAGCTTTGGTAATAGCATAGTTAATCATACAAAAAAGGACAAAATAATTTCTCCGATTGTCTACAGACTCATGAAAGCACACAACTTTAATGTAAACTACAGTAGAGTTTCATATTTCCCTATATCCATAAAGCCCACATCTCCTGTAGAAATGAATGCTGCATCTTTTCAGTATGCAGCAACAAGCGCCTCTCCCTCCGTCATTCAGTCCCCTCAAATCACAGAATGGCCAGGGGAAGAGACCTCAAGGATCATGAATCTCCAAACCCCCCTGCCTCATGCAGGGCCACCAAATATCATCATTCATGCAGAATGCAACTTTCCCTCCAGTGCATCCTCTAACAGCCCTCATTTCTTGAAACTCTGAATTGAATACATGAAAAATTATCTTTTTTCCTGATCAAAGTATACTGAAGTGATATAACTGTCAGAGTAAAATGACTTTAATGTTAAGTATGACTTCCTTCTGGTAGGGGGGACAGACCTGATTCTGATAAGAAAACCTATACCTGATTCTGATAAGAAAACTTATTTTTGAATTCTATTAATATTTAAATCGACAGATCGTGTTAGCATTCTAGGTATTTACACTGGTAATTCAACCAGTTATCACCTTAGAGCAGCCTACAATTTTAAATCAGATTGCTTTAGTTAAAAGTCAAGTTACTGACACTCATTACACTAGAACAGTTTTAATCTAGGCTTCAGATGGCATTTTTTGAGAACTCCGGATCCTACTGAGACTTTGTTTATTATCAGTCTCCATTCATATCTTTTAAGACACATACTAATATGATGACTAGTACCATGATAAAGAGCTCCTCCAATAAAACACTGTTCACAACAGTCCAAACAATGCTTGTCACAAGTATGTGTTAACAACATCTATTTTATACAAAGGAAAAAAAAAAAAAAGATAAATCCCATGGCTGCAAAATAAAATTCACAAAACAAGAATTCCCACGGAATCACAACCTTGTTCCTTAGTGATTCTACAGCACTATTTACATTGCTACTGTCTCATCCTTTGACCAACAGAAAGCAAAGTATTTCAAGTGATTTTGCAGACAAGACTTAGCAGTGAAGAACTACTTTCAAGTTACTTTCAGACTTTTTAAGTACCCAAATTTATTTCCATATATATTTTTCTATTTTTGGAAAAGAGAACCATTATATGTAAAAAAATTGTTTCAATAAACTGAATAACACATTATTGGAGGAAGTGGTGTCATTCAGACAGAAAAGATCAGCCTGGAGTAACTGATCTACCAAACACTTCCAGACTAATGATGGATAAGACAACTCCATTTCTAAAGCAACAGGTAGCCAAAAATTACCTTTTCATCTAGGTAAAACAAACAAACAAAAAACATAACTAGTACCTAAATAGAATTATAGACACCAGTTTATTTTGTTTATCAGGAAACAATGTATATTTTCACTGACTCTTCCTTAGGGCACAAGCTAAACAATGTTACAGACCTATAAGACTGGGCAACATCTGTATTTTTTCAGTGTATATCTTCAGTTACTCTTCGGCACCCTTTCCCTATAAATATTTGGTCCTTCAGAGCAGAAAGAGCAAGGGAAAAAAAAAAAAAAAAAAAACATTTAAAGACAAAAAAAAAAAAAAATTCAAGAGAGTACCTGCATTCATACTTATCTTCTGAAATTGCCCAATCCTATATGGACAGCAAGCTTCTGTGTACTTCTACCAATCATATAGGAAGATTGTCAGCATTGTCAGCATTGCCAGAAGCCAAATGAAAGGTTAACAAATAATGTACGTATGAGTTCACGAGGCTTCCATGGAGGAAGTTTTCATACTACAGTTCCTACCATATCCAGTGCATTATACTGTGCAATGAATAACTTGAAAACAAAATAAACAAAGAAACCCTACAGATTACAATCTGATGGTGTTTTGGGAAAGGACAGGTAATGAACCAAGACAGAATGAACAAATGTAAAGCTAGAGTAATTCTTCTGGTAACACAAGATCTGAATGAGTATCTTGTCTGCATACATAAAGCAAGAAAAAGAAATTAGAGAGACTGGAGACTGGAAAATAGAGAGAGGGAAGTAAAGTGACATTAAAAAAAGTAAGAAAACATATGCATTATAGTAGGTACTAAAATGAAAAAAAAAAAAGAACAAAAAATCCCAGAGAAATGAAACTAGAAGGAAAATCCTCATCAAGCCAAGAAAAGCCTGATAGGAAAACAAGACCTACGAAAATCAAGAGGGGTTATGTACAGCTTACAGATTGCACTAAGTTACCTGGCATGCATCTCAAATGCTGTATTCATTTAATTTGCAGTGATTTTTGGGTCACTGTGGCAACATGCATTTAACGCTGACTGGCAAACTGCATTCTAAGTGTTTCTAGTGTACAACATGTTCTGGTTAAGAGTTCGAAGGTGTGTGTCAGTCTGCTGTCTGATAATGAATGAAGCTTAATTCACATGCTTACTCAAAAAGAGCCCTAGAAAAACATCGTCTCTCTGACATTTGCATAAACATTCTTGAAATCCTCCATGCTTTCCAAAAGTACTGGAATCTAGGAGTTACACAGAAAGCAAGAATCAAAGTTGGAGCAATGCTCTCTATCAAATCACTGCAAGATACAGGAGAACAAATCAGCAGCAGCCTGGTCTTGGTTACAGAGGGAAATTGCTTCGCGTACTTTTCACATGCTATTGTACACGTAGCAACCATGCCCCCTAAAGTCAAGAAAAGGGTTACCAAGTCCCCGATTTCTCTACATTGTCTGATACCAAACCAGAAGAAATTCTAAGATTTGATTTCTGCCTGTTGAACTGTCTGTGGATCACCCTTGTTTCCATGGTAAAAGCAATCTAAATCCCAAGGGCTGTTTGTTTACAGTGATAAGATCCCAGTGGGGATTACTGCGTGAGCATCTGGTGGGGTCAACCACATGACTAGAATGTATGTAAGAAAGCATTATATTGATTCCTGTGCTTCTGGTATGCACTTTTGAGGAAGTATGTCTTCTCCTAGCCTTCAAATGCCGCTACAATACACATGTCTTTTAATGAATAACATCACCATGTTATACTATTTGTAGTATGGTGTGATTAAGAAAGTTAATTGCAGAGATAATGGTCAGATTGTTGAAGCATATGAGCATTCATCCCATCGGCTATCACCGGAAATTTAGGGTGCGGTTTCCTGGTCACTTTATGCTGATCTAAGGCTAAAGTGAGAGGAACCAGCCATACCGTTCCCCACCCACCTACTTTCACAGCTTTCCCTGAAGCTATCAGCAGCGTGGCAGCACGGTACCAGCACAATTTACCATGTAGCTCACACACACAAGTGCTTCACTATTATGCAAGTACAGAAATGAGCTGCTGAGGATGGTGCTGCACTTCTAGCAACTGACCTGTTAGAACAGCTTTAGTTAAATGGTAAACAGCAATAGCAAGGAAGAATGCTATCAACAGCAACAGTCAAAACACTTTTTCCTTTTCATCTACCTACTTGCAACAGTGTCAAAAATGTTGCCTTCAACTGCAATGTAAAACTTGCATCCACAGATTTGATAAGATGAACTCTGTATTCACATACTGATATGGAAAAACGTCTCAAACACAAAGCTCATGCAGTACAAAAAGAAATTTAAAATACATATGAACAATGGTCAACATCAGAAAAACTGAAAGCAAAAGTGACATTCCATGAAACACTGTTCCTTAGCAGAGCTACAGGCTTACTTTCATTATAGAGCTAAGTCCCACCCTCACATTCTGATACAATGCGGGTTTAATAAGCATGTCAGTCTACACACACTTATGTTTGCCAAAGGCAATCAGCTAGCACGGCATTCCTGCAGTGGGAACATTCATAAACAGCCCCTGGTGAGAGTCTGCATACTCAATTGCTGATCTCCCCCCCAGGGCACCAAAAGTTTTCTTGACTATAGATGAAATAATGTAAACAATATTTTAAGAACGAGTAAAGAATTTGTGAGTGATTTAGAATTTGCTATTTTCATGTTTCTGATGTCAGAAAAGTCATACTTCCAATTATATTAGATGCTGCTAGTAAGCAAGTTTATTCACTGAACAGTATTCTCATGTGCAGGGACGTTTTCACCCGATATTTACTTAGTATGAACATCTTTCCTGGACATATAACTCAAACTGCATTAGAATCAGATATCAACAGAGGAGTTATGTTAGAATTATAAATCCTACATTTTCTTATCATATGAAAAATATATAATGCAAATCCCGTAAATATTTGTGAACTCTAGGGATAATTACATATATGCATCTCTTTAAAAGCTTGAACATAGAATCATAGAATTGCTCGGGTTGAAAAAGACCCGAAAGATCACCAAGTCCAAATTCAACATCAGCTTCCAGAATTCAGAAGCTTTGTAAAACATAGAGGTTTGGTCCGATAATGGAGTGGATGAATTTAACTAGGAAATAGATATTCAGTTTCAGTATTTACTGCTATTCCTGACTTTTTCCCCTTAAGAAAGTCAGTATCTTCACTTAAAGAATATACAATATACATGTACACACAAGCTCTGCCATCAACAGTCAATTGAAAATTATAGCTTATATCGTTGCTAATGGCTTTCAACTTAATCACCTTAACTTGGATCACATTTACCTCCAAATGCAATAATATTAACAGACAGCCAATTGCTTTGCCATAAAAAGGGAAAATTTTCATTTAATCACAGAACAACTCAAGCTGGAAGGGACCCACAAGGACCACCGAGCTCAGTCTCCGACTCCACACAAGGCTATCTAAAACCCAAACCCTATACTTGAGAGCGGTGCCCAAACGCTCCCGCAGCTCCAGCAGCTCAGGGCTGTGCCTGCTGCCCTGGGGAGCTGTGCCATGCCTGCTGCCCTGTGGGGCACAGCCTTTCCCTGACCCCCCCCGACCATCCCCTGGCACTGCTCCACATCGCTCCCTCTGTCGCTGTCACAGAGCAGAGCTTATTGCTCATAGGCAGCTCATTGCCATGAAGCATCCCCTCAGCTCCTGTGCTCTACGCCGTGCAAAACAAGGGGCCGCAGCTGCTCCCTGCACCTCTTGTTCTCCAGACCCTTCCCCATCTTTGTCTTCAGACACTCTGATAGTCTGATGCCCTTCTCACACCAGCACGCAGCCTGCACGCAGTGCTGGACATGAGGCCACACAGCGTTGAGCTGAGGGGATAAGCCCTCCACTCACCTGCAAGCAGTGCTGGGCCCGATGCACCCCAGGGCACAGCTGGCCTTTTGGGGCTCCAGGGCACGGTGCTGACTCACATTCAGCTTGCTGCTGGAGAGAAGGTTCCTGATCCAAACAAAAACATTTCCTCTTTGTTTAACTTCATGCTTTCTTATCCCCACTAGAATTAAGTTTTGTATTCAAAGTAGCTTCTGCATCTAACAGGACACAACTACTCCCTGTAAGTACCATCCCCTGGTTCCAAAGAGTACAATTTTATTCTATCACTCTTCTTATTCTGAAAGGTATTTAACAACTAAAATACAAGACAGATTTTATTATTATTATTATTTTAATTATTCATTGTAGGGTAGTTTTACTCCAGTGCCTCAGCAGCTTGTGTTTTAACTGCCTGACAGTTCGGACATCCTGCAATCAAGTTCAGCTCTCAGAAAGCCCTCAGCACCTTCCAACAAAAACCCAGTCCCTTCAAGCACCCTGCAGAGCATGCCTTCCTGCAGTGCCAAGGCTGCATCACAAACCACAGCATAAAACCTGCAGTTATCATCAAAACCTGCATCACTCCCAAAACACCTGAAAAGCTCTGTCTAGGAAAATTTCTTTCAAAATGCTCCACTGATCTGCCTGTAACACGTCCCCAGACTTTGCCTTATTCTCACTCTCAGTGTGATGTTAAGTCTCTAAGACTCCTTCTGAAGTTTCTCAAAAGCTTATTTTGAAGCAAAGGGTAAAAAAAGCTGATGGCACTGAACATATGCTTCATTTTTTCAAGTACCTTCCAAAAAGATACCTTGCACCATCTTCCTTACACCATTTTTCCTGGATTAATCAGCACTTACTCAAGCATTGCCCTCAACCTGCCTCCCTATCACAGCTTCCACCCCAACCGTGTCGAAAGGCATCCGAGAAGGCTGGGCTGCACTGCCGCCAGTCTTGAGGTAAAAAGGAGAGAAGGAAGCTTCTGACTCTCTGCTTCAGAGTACGTGGATCCCGGGAGCAGTCCGGCTGCTCCAGGTCGCAGTGTGAACTTAGCGCTGGTGATACCTACATCTCACATAAAGATGTACTGCCCTGAGTGATCGCTTTCACGCATAAGGAGAAAGAACAGAACAGCCCGCTTTTACCTGACAGAACTTACGTCAAGAACAGCTTCTCGGGACAGTCAAATTTCTCAGCACGCTGAAAAAAGCATCAGGCAAAGAAAAAAAAAAAAGGAAAAAAAAGCCCGAAACAAACAAACGAAAAAAAACCCATCCACAACCGCGTTCGTACCTAAGCAACGAGCAAAGCTGACAGCACGCATCACCGCTCCACTTTATTACCCAGTCCTGAAACTCCAGCCAGGACCCGCGGCAATGCCCGGCCCCGCGCACGGCAATGCCCGCGGCGGAGCGGAGCGCCGCGCTGCCCGGCCCCGCGCACGGCACAGCACGGCTCGGCTCGGCACTGCCCGGCACAGCACGGCACTGCCCGCCCGCGGCACGCACCCACCGCGCCCGGCCGCCGCTCCAGGAAAAGGGAAGGGAAATAAAGCAGCGTCTCGGCGCCGGAGGGAAGTCAGGCACCGGCATCGCAACGCGACTCCGCCGCCGAGCCGGCTAGGGAGAGGCAAGAAGGAAAAAGGGACGAACCCAGAGAGCAGAAAGCGATCGGCGCGCCGCCAGCCGACTCCGTCCTGCCGAGCACCTGGCGGGGCGGCGGGGCGGCAATATCCCCACGCCGGGCCCGGCCCCTCGCGAGCACCGCCCCCCCCCGCCCGGCTCCCACCTTTCGCCTCCCCCGGGCGGGGGCCGTCCTCCGGGCCCCTCTCCCCTCCCCCGAAGTGGGAGGAGGGAGGCGAGGCGAGGCCGCTCCCCGCCCCGCCCCACGTGAAGCCCCCCGAGGATCGCCAGCCCCCGGGATCAAGTGCCGCGGCACCTCGCCGCCGCTCCGCCGCAGCGCCCGCTCCGCCGGCGGGGACTCACCCGTCCATTGCGCAATCGGGGGGCGCGGGGCCGGCGAGAGCTGCCGCCGGTGGGCGTGGAGAGGGGCGCGGCCGCCACTGCCTTCCCGCCCCTCCGGTCCCGCCGCCGCTGCGCAGGCGCGCTGAGGGAGTCTCGACCCGTCCTCGCCGCGCGTGCGCAGCGGCTGCTGCCGCGGGGACGGTCTTTGCCTCTCGGGCGCGGCTGGCTGTGCGGTGATGCGGAGAGCGGGCGAGCCGCTTCAGGCCCTCGGAGGAAAGAGGGGAGGCCCTCGGCTGTGGTGCCGTTCCCTCAGCTGGTGGCGTTTCGCCGCGCTGTTCCTCGTTCTGGGTGCGGAGGAAATCCGCAGCCCCAGGCAGAAGGGTCCCAGTCACGAGGCGGTTCCTGGCGCAGCCCGAGCCCTGTGCCTCCCACAGCCGGCAGCGGGGCGTGGAGGCCGGCTGCTGCGCTCCCGTAGAGTTCTTTGTCCAGTGTGTCCCCGCAGAAGTGCGTGTGCTGTGGAGGCTGCTCGCATCTCTCTTGGTGTGAGTGGCAGAAGGAGAGACTGCTTCAGTGCAAACCTTGTGTGTGGTGTCAGTGCCCACCTGACAGGCTTGGTGCCCTTACAGTATGAATCCTCTGACACAAAGCGGGGAAAAGGCTTTCACTGTTTCACATTCAGTGCCTCACGTAGACAGAATGTGTGACAGCACCGTTTATGGGAAGCAGTGGGATTTGCTAAATATTTGCATCTCCTGGAGTTCATGCAGTGCAAGACGCAGCCCATCACTGAGGCTTCTGGTCTGCAACCTAATGGTCTCCCATTAAGTGATGAAAGAGCACAGGGGGAGTGAGCTGTGAGCACTTCCTAAGAAGCGATACCTGTGTCCCGTCACCTGCACCCACTGCAGGATGAGAAGCTGCAAGGAATTTGACCTGGTTCTTGTCCGCAACAAAGAGCGCCCAGGAGAGTGGGTGCTTTGGAGGTGGTGGAACGTATATGCCAAAGCTTTGGTCTGGGTTTGATCAACAGCTGTAGGCTGAGAGTCTTGTCAATCTTGGCGATGGAGTGTGTCCAGAGAAAAGCAGCAAAGCTGTGAAGGATCTGGAGCACGAGTCCTGTGGGGAGTCAGTGTTGGTTATTAAAAAAAATTTCTTCTCAGAAAGAGTGGTGAGTTATTGAAAAAGGCTGGCCAGGGAGGTGGTGGAGTCACTGCCTTAGAGGTGTTTGAGAAATGTGTGCATGTGGCACTTAGAGACAGGGTTTGTGGGCATGGTGGGGTTGAGATGATGGTTGGACTTGATGATCTTAGAGGTCTTTTCCAACCTTAATGATTTTATGATTCCATAAATAGGATGAATTTTTAATCCATTTGAAAGCTGTGAAGTCTACAGTGGCAAGACCCATCATCCCTTTTCTACTTTTTGTACCCCAAAGTATGGTGGTGCATTGTAAGCACAACTGCTAGTGAGGCCAGCCTGTACACAATGTTAAGTATGAACTGACCTTTGGGGAAAAAAAAAACAAAAAAACAAAAAAAACCCTTATTTTTTAAGCTAGATTTGCCCCCTAATGCAAGGTAAAAAAAGTGGATTTCTGTGCTGATTTTCTGCCTCAGGGTGAAGAATGGATTCATAGGGCAGGAAGCAAGAGTAAGTCACTTGCAGAAACAGGGAAGTTTGAAATAAGTCTCCCAAATTTTTCTAGTTTGAAAGTACAGTTTCATATGTACTTCAAACTCATCTGAATTCACTAACCTGGGAAAAGTTGTAATCTCAAGTGGAAATTAAAAGAAAGTTTTATATGCTTTCCAACTTAGACTAGATTTTGTTTAACTGCCTTCTAGTGAAAGCAAAACATTGTTCATTGCAAAATGCATTGAAATGACAAACAATTGATATAAACTACAATCTGAAACCACCATGGTTTCCACAGTTTCACTCTTCCATGAACAAAACGTTCAATGCTATTGCTACTTCAGACAGCTGAATGTACTGGGTCAGGCAGTAAAGATCATATTGTCTTAAGCTATTTTTTAAATTGCTCTAAATATGGGTGAATAGAAATACAATAGGTTTTTTTTTTTCAGTTCAGTTCAAATAAGAATTTAAAGAATTTTAGAGAACTAAAACTCAAATAAAAATTAAATGTCACCTGTGGAAGAAATGAGGATATGAATGTGTTGTTTGTTTTAGTTGGTCATTTTTCAAAAGGAATTCTTGAAAACAGATTTTTTGAACAATATAGAAATGTTTAAAAACTTGCTTTTCAGTTTCCCCATGAAATACAGAACAAGACAAACCATGGCCATCAAAAAAAGAAAAAAACAACCTGCCCAGCATAATGACTGTTAAGGTAAGATTAGAAGTACTTTGACGAACATGCATTTGAAGAAATAAATATTATTCCTAACATCAAACTAAAATCTGTAATATCTGAATCATTTGGGATGATAAAAGAGCACAGAGATAGATTCTAGTATATATATTAGGAGTATTTGTTTATATGCATTGGAATCTACAAGTGTAGTCAATATATCAGAGTGTATTAGTACGTACACATTAGAATATGCTTATGTTTTATAACATACGTATACATCAGCAATTGTTTATACACATATATTTCAGTGTTACATGATCAATTTTGAAAGATCTTTTCTCTGGAAGTCAGGCTGTGAAAAATGCCCTGCTGTTTAATTCCTTGGCACGCGTTACAAGTGAAATACACAATGTAATTTGGAAATATTACGAGTGTTCTCTTGTAATTGATCTCTACACCATAAAAAAAGAAATGAATGTGTTTCACCAGTAATTATCTAGATCATGCTGCCATTGATGAATGCTTTTTAATTCATTTCCAGCTGCTGTTCACAATGCCAATAGAAATTTTAATAGGTTGCTATGATATAAAAAGAAAATAAACCCTTTGTGATAAGACATGTGATCTGGTTGTATCACATGCAGGGAACAAAAGAAAAAAAGAAAAAATTAAACATTCTCATCATGGAAAGGAAGAAGCAAAGGGGAGAGGGGGAAAGATGTAAAAAGGATGTGAAAGAAAACACTCCTAGGAAGTAAGATTAGGCACTGGGAGTTGTTTCTACCCTCACTTGGCTGCTTTCACTGGTACGTTTTCTTGTTTTTTCTAATTGTTCAGCAATTTTACTCATCCTTTTCTTTTCTGCTTGCTTCCTTGGCCAGTCGTGTCTGTTACTTTCCTTTTCCTGTAAATAGCACTCTTCCTGATAAATGTCAAATATTTACTGTAACTTCAGGGAAGTTGGTGGAATTGTACTGTCTACAAATAGGGAGTGAGTGATGATGTTGAATGGACATATTGTTTTTCATCTGACTCTTTTATAAATACATATATACTGGATGATGGTCTTGTTTACGTTAAAGTGTATAGTGTAATTTAGTTAAATAGAACTTCTAGCAATGGCAGCAGTCTGTATGCATAGATCCAACTGTAGCATCAAAGCCTGAGTGTGCAATAGCTATTCCACTCAGTATATGAATGTTTAGATAGGTAAAATCAGTTAACATAATGTCAACAACATATGTTTACCTATTTTCAGCAGCAAAGTGTTTTATAGAAAATAACTGTCTTTGAAGTTATGTATATCAAATTAGAACAAACAAACAAACAAACTAGTACCTTGCATATTTTATCTTACGTGTATCTTATTAATAAGGTCAAAAGGAATATCCATAATACTTGCTTACAACATCCCTAATAAACAGAATTTTCATGTTCTTTAGCTATATATTTTTGAACTAATTGCATGAAACTCTTCTTGATTTAGGCTCACCTATTTGAAAGGTTTTCTTTTATGATGCTGGACACCTAAAACATTTTCTCTTTTCTGATTGGTTCAGTTTTTAATGTTTGCCACAAAATCACTGTGTAGTCTTCAAGTAATAGTTCTCATATACTGTTGCCAAGAAGAGAACATAATGTATAAACTGACTCAGTATCAAAATTAGACATAAAACTCTTGGTTCCAAATCTCCTTCTTCCCTGTGTCTCACCTGACATGACTGCTTACATTTCCGTGATTTAATTTATACATCTGTAAGTCAGAAATTGTATTTATTTCGTAACAGAGAAATTAATGACCATCTCAGAAAGAATATGCTTAACTTTAACAGTGATGAGCAATTTAGCATCACCTTTACTCTTTTCTTGCCACACTAACTAGTAAAAAGTATGAGTTTTGTCTCTTTTCTAACACTTACTGTTAAGTCATTTTAAGCAATACACACAATTGCGGTCAAATGTTGGCTTTCATAGTTGTCTTCTGAACAGTACTATCATCACAACAGATTCGTAGTTTACACATCTTTGCTACATTTCTTATTGTACCAACCAGGTGTGTCAAGTGAGTGCTGAATCAGTTCTAACTCATAGAAACACACTCATTACTATATGGTTTTAAGAATTTGAGTTTTTTACATTTATTTGTTTTTGGCAGCTAAAAGATCCTCTAACCTGTATTTAATGTAGTGAGAAAATATCCCATTCTCCATTTTATTTAGATTCCATTTATCTGAAATAATTTTTTGCATCATTGTCTTTCATGAAATTCTCATACTGAACCTTTTCAGTTCTCTGTATAATGGTGTATGTACTTAGATGTGCTGTTTCTGCAAATTCAATACAACTTCTATTGGGATTTTCTTTGTTTAATTTGTTAGGGGAAAATAAATAAATAGTTTTATTGCCCATGACTAGGACATATAGTTTGCTCTTAACTGGCAATGCATGAACTTTACCAACAACCGTGGTTCAAGACTAGTCCCAGTTAAGCCTGACAACTCGCTGTAATTTGTTGTGTCCTCTGCTGTTTTAACCCAACTACTTATTAAGGTCATTCCTCAAACTCAGTTTAAAAAAATAACCTCCTTCTCTGCTTCCTGCTGGGGTCAGTCCTGATGGCCAAAGTGAGGATAATAATTTTCAGCAATGCAGACAGCAGACATATGGAGAAAGTAGCCATGAACTTAAACCAACCAACCTTGACATCACTTTCAACAGCCATATGGCTGTTTGCTCCTGGTTGTGTCCATTCGTCCCTGCAGTACACTGCATTACAAGCTGCATCTCTGAGTTTGGCTGGATTCTGGGGAGATGC